TGGTCTGACAGAGATGAAAAATGGGAACATAAAGTAGATGGGATATTGTACAGGACAAATTTTGAGTCTGCAATTCCACTGTCAGGAAGACAAAAATGTCAAACCATTTAGAGCAATAAAAAGCCATTAACTAGGATATACATCTAACAATATATCCTATTAAGCTGAAAGAATCTCACCTCTCCTCTATCCTGTTGCAGCTCCTATTGTATTTTCAAATACTGCTTTAAATTATAGGAATATTTAGACCTTAATTATGTGATCTTTTGGCAGAAGAGATTATGATTTTCTTTCTGGATTTCTGTGACCTGTAGGTGGCCATCATATTTACACCAGCTAATTAAGGGAAGGTGCTGATTTCTAGTCTTATTCTTGCTGGAAATAAGCAAATAAATCCAGGGACCCACAACATATACATTTATTTCTCTCTGTTGCTCATTTCTGGGGACTCAAAGAGCACGACTGAAATTTTTGGTTAAATAAGTGAAAAAAAAAAAATCACCATTAAAGAAGTTCTCCAGTTTTGCTTTTAATCAAGGGATACTGCATTCCCTCACAAGAGGATAAAGCACAGATTAACTGATTTGCAGATTTTTTAATTATTAAGAATGAAACATCTTAGCCCTTAAATCCCCTCTGCTGAAAACTGATTTTGCACTGTCACCTCATAAATGGCATATTTTTAGGCAGGGCAAGCTCTCTGCCTCTGGTATTTTCTTGCTGAGCCACTCCCACACTTCCCACAAACAGAAACTTGAACTCACAACTATTTTTAAGCCTGTTTTTCTAAGGACTTATCTTAGGCCAGAGATTGTTTAAGACGATATTTTCACCCAACCAGCTTGTGTCCAGTAATCCTCGGTTCAAGCATGTTTGTTTACCAAGTATTTAAGTTAAAGGACACTTTTTAAACAAAGCAGAAAATAAATGTAGCTGGTAGCAAGAAATCCTACTTTAATTACTTCAGAATAATCTTTGACAAATAATAGGGAAAGATTCCCATCAAACCCCATCAATCATTTCTGTGAGAATATATGAGAGAGCACAGCCTCTGGAGCAAACTAAATTTACACTCAACTAGTTTTCCTCACAGACTACTAAAAGTATTTTAAACTATATGCATTTAAATGGTTAAATGTGTCTCACTAATTTTTTTTGTTGCTAACTTTAGATACTTAAGCAGGAATGAACTTCAAACAATACCCACAGCCATTGTGTTCCAAAGTTATATGGGTTTGTTGTCAGCAGGTAACAGAGCTATAATATAACTTCACTGCAGCTGGGAAAATGAATAAAATAAAATTTTCAGATGACATGTGACCCAAAATCCCCTGCCCAGTGCCCTTAACTGACTGATAACTATGGGACAGGAAAGCAAACCAACCTTTATTTTTGTCGCAATCGGAAAAAGAAATAAAAACCCAAACCAACCAACGAAACAAAACCCCAAAACAACAAAACAAACAAAAAAAAAAACCCCACTAACAACAAAAAATTATCTATTTCAGCCAAGGCAAAGAAAGCAGCATGATCCAGAACAGAGATTTCAAAGAGCTCTTGAAGAGAGAACCCTGTTTCTTCGTTGCCTCCAAGTCCTCTTCTCTGGATGTTAAAATGAAGGTAAGAAGGCATGAAAATTGTATCAAAGATAAACATAAACAGAGCCTTTTGCGCCAGGCGTTTTAATGAGGGTGCCAAACAGCCAAGAAATAGTGAAGAAAACTATGGAATTTAAAATAAACAGCAGGTTTTGGTAAATTGGGGAGTGGTGGGGATGGAATAAAACAATCCAGCAAAGCCTAAAAAGAAGCCACTATATCTATTTATAACCAGCAACACGAGTTCCACATGATCAACTCAACTTCTTCACACATCCCATCGTATCTTTTAACTCGAGGCAGCCCAAGTTTTTGGATGTAGGCTCCACTTTAACTAGGTGTAATTAAAAGGTGGAAGAATATTCTATTCTATGTTGCTTTGTAATTAAGCACCTCTTAACTGGTCTATATTTTTTTTCTCTTAAAAAATAGGCAAGAGAATATTAAAATTTTCCTTATCTTTGAATTTAGGACATACTTTATCATCATCACAGGTTAATAATGGTGGTCCAGCCCTCAGGATCTATTATTCCACCAATGTGCTGAGGTAATTGTCTTTATAAAGACTTTTCCAGCCACTTCTGTCATGCAGAGATTCACAGAACCCTAATGAGCAACACAGTCAAATTATTGCATTCCTACTTTTTCCCCCCAAATAAGTGTATGAAAGCACATCAATAACCCCTAAACTCCAAGTATAACTTAGGTACTGGGCAAAACTGGACCTGATTCATCCTCCTTTACCTCTGCCCCCTCCTCCTCAAACCCACCCTGCAGCCACATCAGTCCAAAGGAGGAACTGCAGCCACATTAGTACAGCAACTCCATCTCTACAGATTCTTTTTTTTAATCACTAGCCTGGGAGATTCCAGCTCCAAACATGGTTTCAGCATCAGTAACAGTTCAGATAAAAGATGTCACAGCAGCATTTATGAGTGAGGAACAGCCAGAAACACAGGCAGACCTCACCAATGCTTTCCAGATTTACAGGTATGAGAGCATTTAGAGCCATTTCTAAATACAGCCAGTAATTTAAAACTATAATTTAACAAGCAAATGCTTTCCCATCTACTGATTTGCTCTGGCTTTCCTGCACTCAGTGTCTTGGTTGCTTTAACCCAAATTTTCCAACCTCTGATGAACAGCAAGTCTGATGAGGACATGCCACTTTATCACTGTAAAAATACCATCTTTTTAAACCTTTCTTTTTTTTTTTTTTTTAATATAGGGGACACACTAAGTCATTGGATTGCTTCCAGCCCACATATTCTATTTACTTAAGTCTAAAACAATAGGCATATTCTCCTTTCAGTGACAAAAACTTCAAGGAAATGGACCTTTCCTCTCAATCAAAACCTGATGTGCCCCTATCCACATAACACAAACACACAGGACGAAAACAAGGACTCACAAAACAAAGCTTGTTGTGGAACACTCAAGAAGCTAAGCCAACAATTTCCAAGGTTATCTCTGTCAGGAAGACATCCTTATTTATTTGAAACCAGCATGTGTTTCAGCTGCCAGTACAATCAACCCCATTTACTGCCAAGCACGTTCAGTGTTAGGTTTTGAAGGCAAACCTGACAGAAGATAAGATATGAAACTCAGGTTCAATTGCTTGCATTCCATTCTTTTGTGAGAATAATGTTTAAACAAGAAAAAAAAAACCACATCTTAAGTATTTTCTGCTTGCTGCTTTGCAAGTTTGCTAGTTGACAAATAGTTTGGAGATGTGCAACTTTGCTTGTTCTCTCCATCCTCCCCTAATTATTTGGAGACCAATGCACCTAAAACATTGAAATTTAGATATCAATCATTTATGGATATACTGACTGAAGATAAAGCCCAGTATATGCTCCAGTGTTTAACTTACTTTCAAATCACAGATCACGTGAAAAATGGGTAACTGCCATTTGTGGTCTGAAGGAGCAAGTGGATGATGTCATGCAGGTTTTAGAGCGTTTCAGAAATGACTTGCTTTGTCTCAGACACAAGAAAGCCTTGCCACAGCACATCATAAACATTAATGGTGCCCTTAGAACTTGCTTTTAATCCCAGGTTTGCCAAGCCAGGCCAAATTAAGGTGGCTCAGCAGTGCTGGGCTACACTTCCCCTGCACAGCTCTGAAACATTCCTAAAGGATTTTATCTGCAAAGAATTGCCTGACTTCTGCTGTGGGTCCACACTGTTCAACTCTATGACTTCTCTTGTTCAAAAATCCACATAGAGACTTTAAATATGAAGTATCATTTCAAACTGTTCAAATAAAACAAAATCATTTGCATGTTGACAGGTTACCTGATTGATCCTCTGCAGTTATAACAAATGCATCCTTCTGGATACTGTAAAGAAGTACTACATTTGCTTAGTAATAAAAAAAAAATATACATAAATCTTTAGAATCAGGGTTTAAAAATAATTGCACCTGTAAGTCTTTCCTGAAACATCTAAAACCAGGCAAAATATACTTCTGTCCTGTTTAACTGCCTGAGCAGCTCTTTGGAAGACACACATTTGACTTAATCAGAAGACCCCAAGTAAAAAAATCCCATAATCTTAAGACTAGTCCTGAACATTTTACATCTCACTAAAATTTTCCATTCTTGATCACAGTCCAAGCAAATAATTCATGCAGAGTTTGAGAAAAACACTTTCTTCCTATAATTAAAAATAGCTGAACTCAGTTATTTTCTAAAACATGCACAGTGGAAACTTTCTCTTAATTTCTCTTAATATCTTCAGTAAAGCTATATATTTAAGAATATAAAGAATATATTTAAGAATATATTGTGAATTACACCTTCACAACATCTAGGGTATAAAACAAAACTAAACTGAATTTTTAATAAATAAGAAATAGCACTGAGTTGTATCCCACTATGGTGCACAACACACATCTGCATACATTTTATGAAGACTGCAAATGGAAATGCAGGAGTAGAAGACAGTAATTCAAAATGGGCTTAGAAAGTCTTCATGCTGCAACATTAGTGACGTGGATTCACCTCCAGAAAAACTCAAACATAAAAAAACCCTCACTATTTTCATGCTGAATTATTAGTTTTTAAATTATGAGACTTGTGTTTCTTACAGAGAATCAAAAAATGGAACAGCGGATTCACTTTTATTTCCAAAAAGATTTCAAGGTTGATTAATTTTAATCAGATAAAGAATTAGGATAAAATAAGAATCTGAGTTACTCCTCTCTTCCTCCCCAAAATAAAAGTGCTCTCCACACATTATGTTCTTCCCTGGTCTGAGTTCTGCATCCTGCCCACAAAAAAGGGACTGGGCTCCAAGTCACTGTCTGTGGAGGGAACACTGCAGTGAAGAAGCTGAGGAAAGACTGTAACCAGCCCCAGGTTATGATAAACTCCTCAAGAGCCTGCAATAAATGGTGGGGTTCACTGACACCCCCCTCTCTCACGTATTTGTGCAGAATCCACATCACTTTCACCTTTGTGCAGAGGGAAGTGGCTCTAACCTCCAAAACTACTTTTCCCCTTATATGTGCAAGGGCTAACACTGATTGTTGTTACATTTTGATTACAGTGAAACCAAACCAACAAAAAAAACCACCCATATTGGATTAACTTCCTGTGTTGCAAGAGAAGGGGTTAAAAAAAAAAACCAAACCCTGAACACAAAAGCCATGAGAGACCGACTGCAAGAGCTTAAACTGAGGGCTAAGGAGCTGCAGATAGCTGGAGAAAACAGCAGTGCAGCTGTCCAAGAAGAGGAGCAGGAGTTTGAACAGCAGGCCATCATTTACGAGAAAGAGCCCATAACCGAAAGGCACCTGCACGAAATCCAGAAGCTTCAGAATGAAATCAATAACCTGGTGGAAGAAGTGAACAAATTCAGCCAGCAACAAAAAAGCCTGGTGTCCTCAATGAGGAGATTCAGCGTGCTGAAAAAGGAATCTAACCTAGCCAGGGAGATCAAAATCCAGGCAGAGCACGTGAGGAAGTGTTTGGATGAGCTGTCGAAGGCGGTGAAGAAAGCTGAAAGCGAGCACGGGCCCTCCCGGGCCACGGTGAGAATCCTGAGCTCCCAACACGCCTTCCTGTCCCACCGCTACCTCCACGCCATGCTCTCCTACAACGAGGCCATCACCGCCAAGCAGGACAAGTGCAGGAGGTTCATCGTCCGTCAGCTCGAGGTGGCTGGCAAGGAGGTGTCTGAGGAAGAAGTCAATGACATGCTCCAACAGGGGAAATGGGAGATCTTCAACGAAAACCTCCTGACTGAAGCCAAAATAACCAAAGCTCAGCTCTCGGAGATCGAGCAGAGGCACAGGGAACTCGTCAGTCTGGAGAACCAGGTCAGAGACATAAAGGAACTGTTTATCCAGATATCGGCGCTGGTGGAGGAGCAGGGGGAGATGATCAACAACATAGAGATCAGTATGAACAACACTCAAGAATACACTCAAGTATCTAAAGAAAAATTTGGGCTTGCAGTCAGGTACAGAAAGAGAAACCCCTGCAGAGCAATTTGCTGCTGGTGCTGTCCGTGCTGCAAGTGATAAAAGAAATGAACTCCTGGAAATACCACTGGTTCCTACACAGCAAACCGATCCTGAAAAGCAGCCTTGGGATCCCATTGTCCCTTCAGGGGAAAACTCTCTCTGTTTATCCAAACAGAGTTAGAAGAGTGCAAAGAATTTTATGGTTCTCACACAAACACATGAATGAGGGGAAAGGATCAAAGGACAAAAGTGCCACTTTTTTGTTCTTCTGACTCCAACTAAAACAGTGTGGCTACAAACTACCTGTGCTTTTGGGAAGCATTGAGAACACTGTTATCTCAAAGACAGATTTCATAATAATGGTCTAGTTGCTTTTCACAAAATAATAATTGGTATTTTTAATTGCCTTGTGTTTTTTAGCGCTTTTATTTACTTGATTCAAATTCTAAGGGTTATTTTCCCCCCAGAAATCTGAAATTCTACAAAACCAATCTGCACATAAAGCAGACCCCATTAGTAACAACGCAGAAGGTGATGCCTAAACCAAACAAGAAGTCAGAAGAGAGTTACCTGGAGTGTTTCACTCCTACCTCTATAGGAAAAGTTACTCACAGACATTAGGTTATTTATTTAATGAAATGTAACAGAAAATAACACTGCAACTCAGGCAAAAAAAAATTACTTCCAAAAAGAAATTAAAAAAAGAAAAATTCGCACTAAAACCAAACCTCAAAGCAGAAATGTACTTCTGAACTCTTTTGTGCTGTGCAAAGGCACAATCAATAGCACTGTATCTGGATACAGTCAGGGAAGGCAGAACAAACTGCACTACAATTCTACAAGACACTGAGTGAGCTACATGTCTTCAATTTTATCTAGTGGGGAAAAAAAAAAAAGGGCACTACTGAATTATTGTTACGCTGTGATATTTATAAATAGTCGGATTCCTTCCCCCCCACATTAAAATTGCAACTGAAATTAACTGTTATCAAAATACAAAGGTGTGAACCCTAAAGAGAAAAATAAAGTTAAAGACACCACAGATACTATTTCATTAAACAACCTCCCTTAACTTACCTTTATGTTCCATGAGCAGAGTAGAAACCAGACAATAAACAATACAGAGCAAAGAGCTATTATGGCCAATATACAGATATATGTATGTATTTATGTATATAAACTTAATATAACACACAGAGAAATATGCACCTAACAGCAGCACCACCCCACCTTCCTTTCCTGTTTTTACTTTTAGAAAAAACAAAGGTACATAACTTTCCTTCTCTCCTGGGCCCTTAAACAGAAAGGCACTGTGGTAGCTCTGTGAGGGATTATTATTATTCTCTAATAATTAGCAAAACAGTACAAAAGTGAACAACTCAAGTAGTTCCCAGATGTGTATCTGGTTAGAAACAGGCAAAACAGGAACATCTAACACACACTGAAGAAGAACTGGGAAGCGAGAAAGCCAGAAGGACTTGTGGAAAGCTTTTTCTTAATACAGGATGCTAATAACTGAAAATAAATAGCATTAACTTAAACTTACATTGAAGTCATGGGGATTTGATACTGAGCATTCAAAATCATTAACAGCTGAAATTTTGCAGTGATCATTAAAATAACTTTCCAGTGTTTTTGTTACGTGATTATACAGAAGGACAAATTAATTAAAGCAGAGCTCTGAGTGTTCTACTAAGAAAAGAGAAATATTAATAGCTATAATCCCTTATCACCAAAATAACAGGCAGAAAGGAGCTTTCTACTAAAATAAAAATACCTGCCCAGCAATTTCCCTGGCATAAAAACATCAGCACACAGACTTGCATTTCCTTTTGCAACACAAAAAAAACCCCAAACAACCACAGCAAAACCCCAGCAAACACAAATTAACCCCAAACAAAACCAGTATTTGCCTAAATAATATGAACTCTGCGTGTTCCTTTCTGATACAAGGAAGGACAAAAAAACATTCTAAGGGAAGAAAATATAAACTTGTATATCTGTATAAGGCTTGGGCGTGCTGAAAGAATTTACACTCAACAGGAAGAAAAATGACAAAGAGTTTAACATCGCCAAATAATTTGTACTAAGAGTCAACAACAGCCAATACCTCCTGCACTTTAAGAATCTATTAAAAGGTAATAACATCAACAAATTTAGTTTAGCCCAAGTAAACTCAGTTAATAAATACACTTTGCCTCCTGATTAGCTGCTGATATTGATCAAAAAGCAGGATCAAGTCCCAGGGAAGTGAGTGGGGTCTCTGCAGGTACAGCCAGCCAACAACCCAAATAAACTCCCAATAAACTCTATTACAGGATTAGGGCACTGAGATTTCTACAAAAAAACAAATCAAACAAACAAACAACAGAAACCCCCCAAAAACCAACAACAAAAACCAAACCAAACAAAAAAAAACCCGACACACCATAACTCCAAAAGCCCCTGAAGTTGTATTTAATTAGAATCAGTAGTCAACTGTCACAGCAGCATTTTTAGGACAGATTTGGGTTAAAAATGCATTAAGCTGCCTTCATTGCCTTCATTCAGAGCAATGGAATATAAAATGTAATCTATTTTCAACATATACACCATTAGCTTGCTGAACCACACTCCACTTCATCAAAACAATTAGCCACTTGCACCCTGGTGGTTACCACAGCACCACTACTTCCTTAAAGTAAGAGGCCTCTCCTCTTAATTTTACAGATTCTTTATGATAGCACAGAAATCTTGTGCAATTTAATGCATTATGGAGGTCTTGTGCCCACCAGACACTGTCCTGATAAACCATTTTAAACTTCATCTTGTAACTTCAAAAGGGTATTTGTTATCAAAGACCTTTGGTGGGGCTGAACTGAATGAAATATGTTATTTCCAATATTTTACAAGACCTATTAAGCAGAGAAAAAGGACATGACAAACACTATCAAAGGAAACCTTCTGTAATGAGATTTTGCTGAGCATGTATCAGCAGCACCACCATGTGTTAAGTGAACAAAACATTTATTGCTGAGAGATCACCGGTGTTGCTGAATATAATCAAGCACTTACAGTTTAAGTAATTGATGCAGGCCTAAGAAATGATATTTTTACATCGGGTTGTCATGCCAGATTTGTAAAGCCTGTCATTGCAAGTAATATTACAATTTAAAAGTGTTAAAAAATCCCACCTGATTGTTTTTCCACTGCTAAAGAAAGAGGAGACAAATAAATATCCCCGGGAAGGACTGAATAAGATACAAAGTCAGAGGAAGAGAATGGATTCAGGATATCACCAGCTGCTACAGAGGGAAAGAGGGAGGGAAAGACAAGGCTTTGTTCCCCAGCATGATATGAAAGTAACGTAAATAAACACTTCCTAAACACCATAAAACTAATTGTAATATTGCTTAGTGCTAAAAGTGACAGCAGTATTAGTCTACTTTAACTTATTAGCATTACTATTAAGTGTACTTTTACTGAAGTTCACACTACACGTAAATGGCTCTTCAGAAGGTCTAAATTTCCCAAATTTCAGTTATTAGGTGAACATTTATTACATTACTTACACCAGCACGGGTTTCCCTGATATCTTAGGGCTGTTCAAAACTTCTATCATGGCTTGCTTTGTTTCTTCCATCCTTTCCACGTCACTGGAATCCACCACAAAGATCACCCCGTAAGACTCAGCGTAGTAGTTCCTCCAGATATTCCGGATCCGTTTCCCACCTCCCAAATCAAAGATTGTCACTTCAAAGCGTCCCTGCTTAAGGTCAATTTTGGAAAAGCCAACTGTTGGGGCCACGTCTTCAGGAGACTCTGTCAGAGATCAAAGAAGGAAGTTTTATCTTTCGGTTTAAAGAGGATTTCATACCGTGATTTGTGCAGCAAAATTCGTATTTTAAAAACGTGGAGTAAAACCTCCCTGTTAAATGGCACCACGTCACCAAACACATTTTTATTTTCACATTAAGATTTTCCCCTCTTCTCAGGTAACTGTGAATTAACACATCAGTCTTTTAATCAGTTGGTTTCCGTTAATTTAGATAGGAGCATTGGGTCGAGGGGGGTGTGGAGAAAAGAAAGAAGCCAAAAATGCACTTTTAAACAATTAATTTATATTAAAATATATTTATTTACATAATAGTTGTATTTTTTCTATTTATAAATAATATACTTTACGTGCTATATTTATATTAAATATTTACTATTTAATATTAACAGTTCCACTGCAGTGATGTTCAGTGTACTGCCATTTTTACTTCCCCCTCACCACCATCTGAACAGTTATTCAGCATTTGCATGGTATTAATTCAGGTCTGAGAAGGAAAACAAACCAAACAGTTAATGCATTATGACCTGGGAACCCTCGTGCTCTGCCAAATTTATCCTTTATCCTCCGTGGTTGCCAAAACAACTTCAGAGGTTCAAATCAAGGAGATGAAGTGAATGAAACCACGTTCCTCTGAGATGTAAACTACTCACCTCTCTGTATTCAAGAACAGGTTTCAGCCTTTGATTGTTTATTGTTATTTTTCTCTAGTTTGCCATGCTTTATATTTAAAACTCTTGCTCCCTGTCTGCCTTCCCTGAGGGCAAAGAAAGCCCGTACTTGCCTCACACCACTGAGCTCTCTCTGCAGGGCTGAGATAATTGGATATATCCAACTGTTTTATGCAGCTTGGCAGGCACAAGGCAAGAGAAACAGGTGCAAAATCCAGTTATTTTGGCAAAGAAGACTTTGGTGGCCCTGCTGATTTACCCAGAGTGCTAAAAAGTGAGATGTGATAGCTGGGTTTGAGCAGAGACCAACTACAGCTGCAGTCTCCTCCTACAGACTTGGGTGACTGAGGCACAGCCAAAAATACTGGTTCTAATCTCTGCAAGCCCTGCTAAGGGAAAAAAAAAACCATATAATTGCATTATAAGGCAACTATTTAAACACTTGGAAACAGTCACAGACATCTTCTCCTTGAGTTTAGAAACACCCATCCTCACCTCGTCTTTTCTCCCCCAGAAAAATAAGATTTTTAGAAATAACTGTCACACTGAGCTAATAAAGGTGTTAAAGTGGATTTTGACGTGGAATGGAAGGCTAAATAACTAAACACTCATGTTTTCAGGGCTGAGAGAGAGAATCTCCCTAATTTTATTCCTGCTTTCTTGCATAACACAACACAAGTAAACAGAAAGTTGAGGTGGAGTCTCCGAGTCTGCCAAAACACTACCAAACACACTCTTGTTATTGCACAAGATGGAAGTTATTTAGAAAGACAATCCCAGAAGTAGAGGGGAAAAAAAATCCCACAGAGAATTTTCTTTTGTCATAAGCACGAGTTTCCTTCAGCTGTTTATTGAACTGCTGAGAAAACCTTATTCTTGTCAAAAATATCCTATGATGCTCATGAAATTTAAACAGAACCCAGAAAGTATTTTGTTGCCATTTAGCATTTTTTGTTGCCACTTAGCATTTTTTGTTGCCACTTAGCATTTTTTGTTGCCACTGAGCATTTTTTGTTGCCACTGAGCATTTTTTGTTGCCACTGAGCATTTTTTTGTTGCCACTGAGCATTTTTTTGTTGCCACTGAGCATTTTTTTGTTGCCACTGAGCATTTTGCACAGTTAACAATACAGTGATCAACTTCAGGCATACCAGTATCAAGATACTCTGAACATCTGGGTTTTTTTGGTTTTTCAAATTTAAATGATTGAAAATTAGGAATTCTTCTCTCTCAGCTCTCCAATTAGACAATAAATAACTTGCTTACCTCCTTGAATCCCTCGGACTGTAGCAGTTTTACCAGCATTATCAAGACCCACCATTATTAGTGTCACCTTCCTCCATAAGGAGAAAAAGAAAAGAGAAAGATATTTAAAATCTTTTTTTTTTTCCCTCCAGCTAGACATCATTTATTTTATTACCTTTTTTTTTTTAACACATGCATAGCAAATTTACCCCCAAGCAGCAGGAATATTAGGTATCAAAATACCAAAGAGTAGCATTGTTACAATTGTGTATCTGGTGTTCAATATGTCAAGCCACCTGATTAAACAGAACAGCACAACAAAGTATGAAATGAGAAGTCTAATATTGTGGTTCACATGAGAAAATGATTTTGCTTTCAACTTGCCTGCTGAAATTTAACTTCATGGTAGTGTAAATTTTATTTGGTGTGGTCATGGTCTCTTAAACAATTCCTGCCATTTCATTTCCATTTCCCTGTATATTTACCATCTCTCTCTGCCTCAAAGCTGCTCCTGTGTTAGGAATTTATTTCTGTCTCCAGCAGTGCATCTGAACAACACTACACAGTACACAAAACTTGTGCAGACAGCCCCAGATGCTGTGAATATTTACCAGGAGAGGATTTTAAACAAAGCAATAGGAAAAGCATGACTGTGTACTGCTCAGTTCTCTCTCCTATTCACAAACACTCACAGCAGTCAAATGAAATTTGTTCAAATTTATGCCCCTTTAGGTGAAGTAATACTAAAAACATTGTTATTCCCAGACTTAAAACTGTAATGGTATCAAACACAAAGTATCATTTATGCAAGTTCTCTCAGAAGAGCCAAAAAGCTCCGAGAAAAGAACCTAAAAACAAAGAGCAGGATCATCATAAATTATACTTTAACAGGAATCTAAAATCAGATCTTTGAAAAGCTCACAATTGTCTCTAACACAATGGTGGAGTCAGAAAGCTGCTCAATCCAATATAGTTCTTTGAACAGTAGCACCTTCTGTAAAATCTAAACTATGCAGCACTGAAGAGCAAATCCTCCTACACCAGTGTGAAGTATAAATAAGTTTATTTATTTCCCATAGTTTGCACACAGTTTGAAATAAACTATGTGCTACCTGTGCCTCTCTGCTAATTGGAGGAAAACGCAGGATGTCAAAGGAACAAAGAAGAACAGCAGAATTCCATAACTGAGAGTGGATCACCAAGCTATCCACAAAACGCAGTATGAAGATACTCAGACAACAGCAAAGAAAATTAAACATTTTTGCATCACCCCATAATGCTCAACCTCAGGAAACATTATGTGAAAGACAGTATTCTGAACTTTATGCTTTCCTGAAGTCAGAAACAAAGCACCCAAATTAGAGATGATTAACATCTCATTTTTAAGATCAGAAGATGTATTAATTCTCTCCTGGAGAAAAAAATACATGGATTTTTGTAACTGAATTAAAAAACATGAAGCAAATGAAGTGAAGTATAGGTGGAATACAGGAAGGTCAGCACAGAAGTGCAGAACAGTTTCCCACATTTACCTGACAGGTTCCTGCCACCGTTTTAACCAGTTGCAGCAATTGGCCATTAGATTGAACATCCCTCTTCACTATCCACCCAGAGCCATCCAGAGACAACGTGGACAGGTCAGAGCAACCCAAAAAGACTCTCTTGTTCCTGCTGCTAGCAAGAAAAAAAATGGAAAAAAAAAAAAGCATGGTTAGCCCCTATATTTAACAAGGCATTTCCCTATCTGTTCATTTCCTCCTCTTTTTCCATCCTTTCAAAGTTCACCTGCCCCCCAATTTTACATACGTGGACAGCAACAACACAGTACTCCCATAAAATAACAGTGCAAGGCAACTGCACACAAGGGAACCTGTAAATTAGAGGAACAAGATGCATCAAGCTTCAAAATTCCAGTGCCTGCCTTGCTGACACATCCCACAGCTCTGCTGAGGGATGCAAAGTAAGGACCAATTTCAAGCATGAGTGAGGCTTATAAGAACGTAACAGGATAAGGCATTAAAAGCAAACACAGGATGTCCCTACCTGCTGAGTAATATTCACTGAACAGTCAACTGCTTTTACACAAAAAGATCCCACAACGAGGAAACTCAAAGAGAGTGTTTCGAGGAACTGGCAACTGTATCTAGTCATAGTCAGTAAATTAAATAGAAGGATCAATTACTTCCATCA